GCTGCAGAAGGCCTGCGAAAAATAGATGGAAAACAAAAGATAGGGAGAGATGAAGGGTGAAACCACGTCTATAAAATAGATTCAGACCAGGCATACCTTTTTCTTGCCAAGGACCTTTGTCCCATGAAATCTCCTTCTCTTTTCCATATTTCCTGTTGCTCTCTGCAGTCAACCAACTAAAAAAAGTGGAATGGGGCTGGCTAAGACTCTGCAGGCATGAGGAAAAAACACTGAATCACTGCCTCCTACTCACATCGTTTTTGTGTTAAAAGCTTTTGGCTTTTTCAGTGACTTCAATTCAACATAAAAGCTAAAGAGAACCATAGTAAGTGATTCTGTCTAAGATGGCTGGCTGAAGACAAGCCAAAGCTGACATCAGTTTTCCTATATTAAAAGCCAGCCAGCAGCTACTCTCCTGCGCACCAGCCAACTGGCTATAGACAGTCAGGCAGATAGTCAATATAATGCTGGAGAGCCTGAGGGCCAGATCAGTTACTATGCCTATGAGTGGGCAGGGTGAGCTGAGGCCAGATGGACACTGATCCCTCACCTCGCCTACCATGGCCCTCTGACAACCACACCCCTGAACTGTGCGGAATACACACAAACCAATTATTCAACATAAAGGATTGGTTTTGTCATGCCCAAAGAGGTAGAGCCGAGGATGACAAACAAACACAGGCCCTCAATAAGCAAATAAATGAAATGCATAGCACTGTCTCAGGAGTGACAGCTGCTACATGGTCCAGGTAAGAAAATGTCCTTATTGTACAAGCATGCACTTTTCATGTCCCTTCTCATTTCTCCCACACACACAAACACACCCTGGATCTTTTAAATAAGTTATTCAAAAAAATTGTTCAACAATGGAAATTTAAAGCAAATTATGTCTATGAGGTGGCATTGTGTGCTAACAGACTATGAAAGTGCTGAGTTAGACTTTCAATAATTACAGTGCACTGAGTCCAGTGTCGTACGTTTAAGAAAATGCAGCGTCAGCGTCCACCACTTTATCCTAATGGGCAAGAGAGTGCCAGGCTCCCAACCACAGTGACGAGAGTTACAGTCTCACCATCAGTCTCACCATCCTAAAGCTCAACCACTAAGAGCGACACAGGAGATGCACAAACAAACCTGAGGCATCAATGATGAGATGTAGTTTAAACCTGTGTGTCACCCTAAACAGATGCAGCAGAGCAGGCCAGCGTTAGGATTGAATTTCCATGGGTGTGGGGACTGAGGCTGACACTGGTTGCAGGCAGTAAAAAGCAGCTGACTTCCAAGCAGATGCAAATGCTCTAAGCTGTACAGGGGTTGGGCTTTCTATTCAGCTGCGCTGACTTTGGAGTGAGTCCCCAGACAAGGGACGGGCTAAAAAGTGCCAACATGCCTGTGGTACGAATAATGGCCTTTAGAGATTTAAGTCCAGCACCAATGCCTTCAAGTAGAAGTTCATATTCAATGGTAAACAATGGTAAAAAATGTGTCCATTATCAAATAGACAAAACGATCATCAGAATAATCAATAAGAAAAAAATAATTAGTTGGAGGCCTGAACCAAACAAGTAAATTGCAACAATTATTCACTTAAAAGGTTCACTGTGTTAGACATCTAGTGGTGCAGTTGCATGTTGCAGCTGAATACCGCTCACCTCACCCTCCCTTCCAAACATGACAGAGAACCTGTTGTAGCCTTCAGTTGTCATAAAAACTCAAAGGGTGTTTAGTTTGTCCAGTTTGGGCTACTGTAAAAAACATGGAAGCCTCCATAGAGGACCCTCTCCAGATGTAAATATAAAGTATTCAAATATAAAGGGCCCATTTTCGGGGGAAAGAAAACAACAATTTAGATGAAACACTAGTGAAAACATCACTAGGATGAATCATATTTATGTTTATTATGTTTCAGAGGCAAACACATTTAGTTTTAAAATCTGCTCGATACTGACTATAAATATACCAACAGACTGATGCCTGTTGAAGGCAGAGAGGAGCTGTAGGTACATTCTGTTCTCACATTGTGATTGTTGTTGAGGAGAAATTTGAACCCTTGACGGTGACATCCACCATTACCTCTCACAGCTGTTGCACGGATGCAGAGGAACTCATGCAAAACTACATTAACAGCACAACTCAAGCAACAGACACATTAATCCTGCAGTATATCACACCATACAAAAGGGTAACAGCCTGTCTTCTCAGAAAACACTGAAGTAAATGTCTGCAAAGCAACTTAGGTGAAAATACATAACAGGCTTGTATCATGTGTGGTAATGCAATATCAGGATTTTTAGACTGTCAAGCTTGATGTTAACAACTTCATAAGTACATACAAAAAAAGAGACGTCTTTCAATGAACTTGAAACGACTCAGTTAAGTCAATAACGAAAGACAGATTTAACTCATGTCCCACCTCTGACTGAAAATTGCATTTTAGTTTCTTTACTACTGGTCTGAGTGTTTGCTTAAAGATTCACTTTCATTTTCTTGAAATCCAACCCCTTGACTTTTCTCTCAAGATTAAAGAATGCACTGAACTATTTTGAGCTTCCTTTCTGGCCTGCTTTGGACTTTAGTGAGAGGAACAGGAAACAGAGGTGTAGAAGGAAGGGAAGTGGCTGTGCAATATAAAAAAATCACAGGCTGTATCCCAATACAGAGGCTAGGTATGGCAGAGGATGTGGGTCTTCCACAGGACCTGAAGGGCAGGCCGACCATGATGCTGCCCTTCTGAAAATAAGACAGTCTCAGAGACGAACGTGTGGCTAACATGGACAGATCAAGATGCATCCAAAAACCTTGATGTTCCTTTCTGTCTAGAAGACATAAAATAGATCACTTCATAATTTTCTGAGAATTACTAATAAACAGTGATTAGATCTGCTGTAAACCATGCAGCTCTTTTACACATACATTTGCTGGTATAGCAGAAAACCCAGCTAAAGGGCTATTGTCTCCTTTACTGTTTCCAGTCGACGTTTGTCTTTTTAGTTTTCCTACAGTGAGTCAGGTTTGAAGTTGGAAAACAATGCGTGTCTCTCACAGTGCAAGAAACCTGTCTCAGTATTTCTACTTCCCCTCAAATCAGGAGAAGCTCTGCACCTCACTGTCTTGCCAGTGCTAGAACTTGCAAAATATCACAGTTACTCGTTTTTCAACCAAATACGTTCCTGGCAATAAAAACCTGCGTCTAACACAGAATCATTTGAGCCAGAAGTGAATGTCGGGTGTATGATTTCCCATTGCAGACAAAAGCAAGATGTTAGTGGTTTTTTGACCACTGGAAAATGGGTAACAGTTTATTTAATATGCTTTGTTTCTGTGATAAGTCATAACAGTACTTCATACTCAGCACTGCCCCTTCCTAATCCCATAAGAGGTTTAATAGGAAGTTAGATTTCCCTTAAGGTGCCATCGACCACAACATGTTCTGATGATCACGTTTTCATGGTCATTTCAACTTAGGTATTTCTGTATGAATGATAATGTAATATAATTTTGTGTTTGAACACATCTGGCACCAGTATGTGATGACCATCGAAGTGAAAACACACACTTTCACATCCTATTTAGTTTTTACAGACAACAATTGCCTCATTGCACAATTACACTGCTGACCTGTGCACAATGGATTGTGGGAGACAAATGATAGACTAGCTGAATTCATATAATTGTGGCAAAGAAAAGATTACATCTCAGACCTTCTTCTTGTTGGATTTGGCTCTAGAGTTGTGACTCGACTGAATAAATCATCTTGCAGTGAGGCCTCTTAACTGCAAGCAAAATGTCAGAAAATCTGTGAGGGGGGAAGAGAGCATGCGTCAGTCCCACTTGGTTTCACGCCCAGGTGACGATAAACCCCACAGCGACAACTCACACTCCCTGGCAGCATCAGCATGAAGGTTTTAAGAAGGCGACACACTCTCTCCTGTGAGTGTCTGCATGTCACATACCTCCCTGAAGCCAACGATAGAGTCTCTCAAACCCAGACCACCACACCCACAGAAACCCGAAGCACACCCCACCATGCAATGCAAACTCTCAGCCAAAACCTGACTTGATAAGAGACATCCCTCTATCACTGAGATCAGCAGACGATGTCGTCCAATAAGTCTGAGCCTCAGAGCCTCCCTTTTATCTCACTGAGCTCTGCCAAGTGGAGGAGGAGCAGCGTGCATGGGTGGAAATATGAAAACAGATGATGGTGAGGTTGGTAGGAGACAAGGGTGAAGACGTTAAGAGCAGACAATACATCCGAGGAGCAGGCTACTTCCAGCTTTTTCTCAAATCTAAATAAATGATGCATGACATGCTGCTGATGCAAAAGCTACATCTCCTGCTTCTCCACACACTTAAAGATCCCAGAAGTGTTACTGATGAGAACATGAGCAGGAGGCCTGGAGCCCTGTCTTGAAGATTTTATCATCTGTGTCCAACATCTCCATTATTATCAGCCTGATGCTCGTGTTGTGTTGGGACACCACTAACTGCTGCCTGGTCCTCGCTTGTGTAGCCACTGTTTTGTTTATTCACGAGTTTCGGGATGTTTGTCCAGGCCTCAGGACAAGTGGAGCTTCAATAACACCGTTTGTCTCTGGGAACAAACACGCTGAATTCACCCCCGGTGGTGGCGAGGAGGCCGAGTCCAGCCTCACGGAACAATAGCTCGGTGTGTGAGCACCCAGGAGGGACGCACGGGGCCAGGGAATAGACGGAGCCAGGATACGAGCAGCTGAATCTACTGTCCACCCCGAAGACATGCTCCGTCCCCGGGGAGCGAAACCCACGTTGAGACCACCGCCCCGGTCGTTCCGCTCCATGCTAACGTTCCACATCCATCACCACATTCACAGACAGGACGTTCAAAACACGTGTCTGCTTCATTAAAGAAAAACGACGCGGCGGAGACACGGAGCTTTGTTGACAGCGAGCGTCATTCAGTGGTTTGAATGGAGTAAATAAAGCTGATAACATGCAGCTGAGAACGTCACAGTCTTTACCTTTCCAATCGCAGCCCGGGCTCCTGGAGACTCTCGCCCCGGCTCCGGCTCGGAGGTGGAAGCCGCTGAGCGCGTCGACAGAGCCGTAAATATTCACCGGACCTCACGACAATGGAGCCGCGTCCTTTCCCTCCACGTTTGAGCGGCGGCGCTGCTGCTGCTCCGCTTCATAAAGGACGGGGTGGAGGGTGGGGAGCGACCCGGGGAGGGAGGCTGGAGACTGGGGGAGAAGCGTGGAGGAGGGGAAGGAGGAGGAGGAGGGGGAGGAGAAGGAGAGACAATATGCAGATTAAACCCCGCGAGCCGTCCAATCAGACAGCGCGAGACCGAAGGGTTATGCAAAGCAGCAGTGACGTCACATTTAAACCTCGCTGTTGGCCTGTGGCGCGAGAGCATCAACATAGAAACCATTCATATCTACACACGTCTGTACCCGTCCACATGTTCACATGAAGAGAGATCCAGCAGAATCTTTCACATCCTTTCAAATAGGTTTTGGAGAATTCAGCTCTACACCTGCCTGTTTGGAATGATCCCTTGCCTTGTGTCCCGCTGATGCTCCGGGGAAACTTCAGAATTATTCCTCTTCATTAGCGAGCCCTCCTCCAAATGTTCTACAAGATGCTGTCCCTTGTTTTTAATTCTTTGTGCGCTATGGTGCAGTGAAAAGATAGTTAGAGAACTTCCAGTTCATCCTACCTGGTTTATCTGCAGTGATTTTATAGTCAATGTTTTTTTCATGAAATCAAATTTCACGTGAGAGGTTTATATCTAAGTTTGAATAATTTTCTGTTATATTTCTCGTTAGACTAATAACACAGTGTAAATGATGAGTCCAATTTGAATGTCAGGGCGTACAGTGACTTGGATGCAACCACAGGAGCAATATGGAGGCATTTTAGGATTTTCTTCTGTTTTTTGTTACATTTGCAGAAGTGGTCACCATTTACTTTAACTGTATTGGATTTGGCTGCAACGCTGTTTACCCCTGTTTTGTGGACTCAAACACTTCACCCACCCCTCCATCTGCATAGTGGTGAGTAGATAATGGGTGAATTTTCATTTTTGGGTGAAATATCCCATTAATGCTCCATAGCTAATTCAGAATGATTCCTAAAACAGTTTGACAAGACACAGTCCCTTTTTTTATTGTTTGTGTGCTGGAAGTTGAGTGCAGAGCTTTTCATTAACAGTCGATGATGAAGAGTGAAGTAAGAAAACTTTAAGTCCATTCTACCTGGTTTATCTGCAGTGAAGAAGACATGTTTAACTTGGTGCACAGACTGATGACACACTGTCCCGCTGGTCTCCAGACTTCAAATGACATATTCTGCGCTCATAGTCTAATACAGTGTTCACTTCCCTATGGTACAGACCCACAATAGCTGCGAGTTGAATGCTTATGTTGAGCTGCAGCTGCAGGCTCTACAATAGAAATCAATGAAAAGAGGGGGAAGGCATACAAAGACTTCTGCAACTCACAGAGAGAGGAAGAGTGAATGGGCAAAGACGTCCGACATCCGCTGTTGTTTTCTCTAATAAGACTCGGAGAGGAGGAGACAGAGTGAAAGAAAAGGCCCTGCAGGGCAAAGAGAGAAAGAAATCTTAAACTCTTGAGGGGTGAGGGGAGGAATGAAGGATTACCAGAAGTCGTCAGTGCACACGTTCTCAGTGTGTGTGAGTCATGTCTCAGCTCGGCCTCTCTCTCCATCCCTTCTCTTTACCCGTTCCACTCGGCTAGAGGCCCGGCGCTGGAGCAAGGGGGAAAACCCAAAACTCTCACTGAAGTTTCACTAATTCTTCAACTTTGGTTATTGTTAAGAAGCAGTTTAAAGGCTAACGTCTGGAGCTTTATCACCTGACAGTTTTAGCTGATTTATATTTATACAGTTTGTGCAAATCTGGACCTAAAGGTGAGGTGTGGCCCCACCAGGAGAGTTTCAGTAAACCATTTCATACTTTATTTGACTAAACTAAGCACTAATGGCAGCCATCATTATATCACAGGGCTTGAAAAGCTTGTAAATCCCCTCACATCCTGCCCATCCATCTCAGATTGCTTTGTAATGTTGTTACACGAGGGTGTGGCTCAGCGCCTGGCTCTGCTGAAACAGAGTCAGGATGAACTGACAATCTCAACACAGACCTGGCATCTTTAAAATCTGTTTCTTCAGTGTGGTCTGGTGACGGTCATCCATCTGCCCTGACATCTTTCTGTGAAGACAGCTGCACACACCGCCTGTGGTGCTAAACACAACCTGCATGCAACCCCCCCACACGCACATACACACAAACAGACAGGCAGACACACCAAACACAAACTCAGTGACTCAGTGAATGAGAAATAAGAAATAAGAAAAGAAGGAAACAACGGTCGTATATGCATTCAGACCGATGCCATTAATTTTAGGTCAGCACAATATAATTCTCACTTTAGCATGCCTTGCAATAAAACATTTAATTCTCATGATGTGGAAAATCAGAAAGGTCAACTGTTTAAATCGGCTGGATCACCCCTGATACACCCAGAGAGGGCTGGTCATGGCCTGTGGGTCACGATGAGGTCGTTCCTGGACTCATAACATGGTCTCCTCTCTTTGTAGTAAAAACAGTGAGTTTGCCGGATTAAATACTTCAATCCTGATCCTATTGTTATATTTATATATATTTATTCTACCAAAATGTTTTTATGTGTTGGAGCAATGTATGTGTTGAGGGAACATCATTTGTATGTATGTGTATCTATGGTCGCACGTGTCAAATGGAAACACAAGCATTTTACTTTACCTTTTTATTTTCTTATGTTTTGTTTTAAATGGTGCTGTCTGATAAAAAAAAATGTCTGTGTTGTTTTTAAATGTCTCTGTATAGCATCCTGAATCTACCTCTGTGTATGAAAGGTACTTCATAAATAAAACTGCCTTGCCTTAAATAACATTGTAACACCCCCCTAACCCCTCATTCAACTAGTGTGTGCAATTTGGTGCAAAATCAAACAAAGATCAGGATCAAGTGAATCATTGTGGTTTCAAAAGGAGACTCTCTGAGTACCATTCTTTTTTTTATCTGAGGGGCCCTTCCTTACATAAATAACCCTGAAGTTCAAACAGCAAGTCACAATTGAATAACTGGGGCATATTTGAATTCAAGCTGAGATCAAGCTGGCAGTAACAAAAGGCACATTTACCTGCATCGGCTCACTGAAACTAAAAACATCCTGTCCACACATGATGTGAAACACAATGAGTGTGAAAGATCTATTCTAGAAAGATAAATAAAAACACATCTATGAGACGATTTCATAGGACTATGAACTCCCCCTTTGCTTCTCTCTCACATACACTCCCACATGAACCATCGAGGCATCGTCGGAGCAGTGCATTATGTATGGTAATATTAGGTTAAGTGGCTGGAAAGCAAAGATGTGCTACATCAGCTGCCAAGCCTCAGTCGAAAAGCTCAATAAGCAGGAAATGAGCTCATCGCATTGGTCTGCTCTGAAGAAAAACGAATTGTAATTTCTCCTCTGAGAGTTTTGTGCTGCAGCGTCTGAACTAAAACATGCAGGAGATTCACGACGGCTGTGTTTGACTGAAGGATTTATTTGCAGAAATCAACAATCATACTTTCCTTTAAACTCTCATTGTGCCTTTTTTCATCTGCCATCGTTTTTAAGTAGAGAAATTAACTTGCAGTCCTCTGGTACAGTGTCCACACTCATGAACAACAAGCTCCCCCCTCTGACGAGTCAAAGGAACTGCGTTAGAATGGAACTAGAGAATCTTTGCAGTCGTCCACAACCAGTTTCATTATCACAGACGATCAGGGAACATTTTGTCACTAGATTGACGAGACACAACGCCAAGTAGATGACTTCATATTTGCATTTCTCAGGTAAAAGCAGATATTTTTTTTATAAAAACACGATATCTTCAAACGAAGGGAATATCAAGAAATACAAGTACATGCATTTAAATCAACAATAACTTAAGGCCATTGATATGTTTGGCACACATTATTTTAAATCTAAATCCCTAAATAAAATAATTATAAATGTGACAGTGTTTACTCATCAGAAAGAATATGAGATTACTGACACTGAAATGAATCATCATTTCAAGACACTTTTCCTAAAAACATATTCTTGAATTCAGATTATGACTCCTGACACTATTGTGCGTTTTATGCAGTGTTTAACAAGACATAACAATAAAGACAGCAAATTATGTGGCTATGGTATTATTTTAGAGAAATAAATATATGTCTGCCATCATTATATCTTCTTGTTATCTACCATGACCTCCGCTCCATTTTGTAAGACAGTTCAAGTTTTTTCTCTTCAAGATCATTAAAAAAACAAGTCATATAAAAGTTCTGAACATTGGGCATCATTAAAGAAACAGTATATGCACATCGCTCCGGAGAGCAGCTTTCCTCGTAGTAGCTGACCACAGACGATATTAAGTGCTTCATTAGTGAGCGAGTGCATCCCATCGCATCGATCATTACTCTGACAAATGTAACTCAATCCACTACAGCAATCGAATGCGGCAACAAAAACGAAACAAAAGATACACATTTGTAGGAAATGTGATGCTTGTGTAGTGGGACTGGAACCGAAGAATCAGTTAGAAACGTTACACTCTGTGGGGAGCGGGTAAATCAAGTCAATTCAACAGCTGAAACCTCATTCTGTATTGCTGTTTGTGGTCCTGTCGTCCTCCATGATTGTCTAAAAAAAGACAGCATACCAGAGGGTGGAATTCCTCGTCTCATTCTCGTAGTTTGTGCAGTAGATAATGCTATTTTGAAATAAAGAGTGTTTAAGTAAAAAGTCAAACCCTGTCCTCAGGAGGTAACCGACTTTGAAATGACTATAAAAGTAAAGCACAAAAATAACAACACCATGTTTGTACTTCTGCGAGTCCCCAACCTGTACCTGTTTAGTATCCCAACAGCAGTCCCTGCTTCTGGTTCAGCCATGTGCATTATTACATACATAGGGAAAAATACTGATTTGTTTTGAATATCAACAAGGAACAGAGAAATGTCTTTGCATTCATCAGCCATGATGCTGCTGAGTCTTCCTCTTCACACAGAGGACAAGTCCTGTCCTTCAGTTCACGGAAATGAAGACAGGGTTAAATAAGAGGTCCAATAAAAAGACTGGTGTTATATATTCCTTGTACAGAGTGCTGGTCCAGCTGAAGGCAATTCCTCCTGAGGATGAGTGCTAAGAAACTGACCCAGATACAGTACGTTGGCGTCAGGAGTCTGTGCGGTGTATCCCTGTGGCCAGCAGGGGGTAACTAGCGAGGTCACAGAGATCTACCTCAGTTCACCAGCAGGACGTCTTCATATGTGGTTGTTCTGCGGGGAATTTAAAATAAAGATGATTCATGTTAACAATTTTCTACATCATAATTCATATATTCTTATTTAGAGTCACACAACTGTGACAAATTATGACACGACAGAATAAAGACAAACACGTTGGAGAAATGCAAATCTGATTTCCCCTCCACCTCAGAATGTTATTAAAAGTTATGGGCCAATGTAAAACCCAGTGAATATGTATATATATTTTTTTGTTTTTTAAATTCAAAAGCCTCTCAAATGTAAAACTACATGGCTAGAAACAAGGCAGGGAGCTCACTTGTCTATTATTAGGTCTCTTCTCTGATGCTTATGACTGTTATCAATTGGTCCTGCTGCAGAAATGTTTAGATCCAATTAAATTAAAATATTAATTATTCAGGCTGCGTCAACCAATCATCTGTTGTGTATCTGACATGAGCCGCTGCCTCCTCCTCACCTGTCGCAGCAGCAGAAGAAGGAGCACGGCGAGGTTTCCAGACCCCTGAACTTCCCAGAGCTTGGTGCGTCCGTACACTCTGCTATGAAGGCCTGTAGGTCCGTGATGTGGATGGATTCTTGGGTTTGGTGCTGTGATGATTAATGACAATATGTTATTATTTAAACCTTAGAGGCTCCTTTAAAAATAATTACTGTGGGACAAAAATGCCCACTCCATAAAACGTTTTGATCATTAGTTCCAAATATTCAATATTGATCTCCTACCTTAATGGTCTCGTAGGCTCCTGTGATAAGAGCAATGAACAGCGACAGCACCATGTAGATGAAGAGGGAGATGAAGGTGTACAGGTAAACTTGGCTGAACAGCCACACCAGAGTGCTGCTCTCCTGCATCCCTGCGAACGTCACAAACATGTCGTCCCCGTTGATAAGGGAGAACAGGCATTCCGAAACCATGGACAGGGAGCGGAACTGAGGGAGAGGAAAAAAAATTTCTCGCCATTAAACCTCTGAAACATTAGGTAACGACGAACTGAGATGTGCTAACATTGCTTTAAACTGAAGAATGCTAATTTCAGCAATTTGTTGCAAATAATACTCCAACTCAGCAATTCTGCAATGTAGTCAAGACATGGTCTTGGTCTGAACTTTCAGGTGTGAAATAACACTTAAATTTCAAAACAGAACCAATCATGTGAGACAAATTACCATGCAGAAGATTTGTGAAATAAGGTAAAGCCAATATGACTTTAGACGAATATGCATGTTTAAAGAAAAAAAAGGCGTTTGGAGAATTGTACCGCCACAAAAGCATAGCTGACCCTGTAAAATTCAGTTTTATATGTCTGAATCTTACAAACCTTTCAAATCAACATACATTTGAATTTAATTTAAATCTTTAGAGACAGGTAATGAACATTATCTGAGATAAGCAAAGAGTTAAATGTGAATAGAAATGAGCAAAAAGAGAAACATGGGACTAAACTGAAATGAAAATGTATGTTTTTAACATGATACTTTAACATCATAAACTCTGAAGTGATTTTTACTTCACCAAATGTTTACAACCCTGAGAGAGTTTCCGTTGCATTCACCTTGACATGGTACGGCCCCAGGACGATCCAGCCACAGAAGCAGTAGCCCAGATAGATGACGGCCACACAGAGGCAGAATCGAATCACGTTGGGCAACGCAACTCGCAGTGTGATGATCAGAATCTAAAGTTACAGTGTGTATGAGAGCAGCGACAATATATTAACTGAATTTATTACATCACATCAAAAAGGGAAAGCATTTTTCTCATCAGTAATTAAATCAGCAGCAGTACGAGTTGACTCCCACCACATGATCCGAGACTTACATTGTATTTCTGGAAGAACGTGAGGTAGCGAATGACTCCCACCCACACCAGGAGAGTGGAGGTCCCTAACAAGATGCCACAGAGGTCATAGGAGGACATATTCTGTCAGGAGGAAAGAAGAGAGGATATCTATGACTTTAAATATCGCTCATTACTAAGTAATAAGGGGAAAACCTTTATATTTGTAAACACTAGCAACATTCAAAAAATAAGGATGAAAAGCTGCTCCAACACAAAAGTACATTTAAACCTGTAGCCTCTCATATTTACTTATGGTAGGAAGAGGAAACTGTGCATGAAAGACTTCAACAGATAACTGCTTATTGAGCCATGATGAGAGAATTTCCTCAGCAGAGGAAATGTGACTCAAACTGAACAGAAAAGAAAGAAATGTGGAAAAGTCCCAGATGAGAGCTACAGAGTGAGAGAGAGACAGTGAGTCTTTGTCAGAGGAGAGAGGCAGCCAGTGTCTGTACGGACATTTTTCAGACATGAACTTCAGAAAATGTCCAGACCTATTGTCCATGTCATTGTCAATAAGGGAAACTTAATTTACACTTTTTATTTTTCTTCTAATATGTACGACTTTCTTTTAAGAAAAAAGCTTTCCATATTTTTTACTTGTCACAAGAAAGGAGCATTTATTTATTTTATTTACAATCCCTCCAATACAATGTGAAAACTGACAATAAATATTGTAAAAATATTATTGTATGATTTTACAAGATGCATTTAATGTTTCAATATATATTTAACTACACCATAAATACTACACTGGTTAAACATGATGATGTTTCAGACCTTTGCTGAAGGACATTTTCTCCAACTGCACCTCTGAATTTTGACTGAATACCACTGGTGTAGATGTAAGCAGGACTCACCTTAGACTCAATGCCAATTTTGATGATACTCCCGGTAATGGTGAGGATATCACTGACGATGAGGAGGATGTACCAGCCGTTAATGAACTCCAGCCGGTCTGCCCAGCACACTTTACGATCCAGAGTTTCCTTAAAGAACTGCACAAACTCCTGGAAAACACACAGAGGTGGTCAGAGGAACGAACCATACATTTATAAAAATGAACTACACACATCAATTTGAAAATGACGATATCTCCGGTCTGTTACAGCCCAGCATCCTCTCTTGTGACTGTAACTCTCCTCACCTGCTGCAGCGTGATGCCTCGCAGTATGGAGCGTCCGCAGAGAAGCAGTGACACCATGCACACCAGAGCCACCACGATGTCAAAAGCTACACGAGAGTAGTTCTCAGCTGGGGTTTTAATGGGAAGGAGGACAAAAACAAACAGAACTGTTAGTGATTCTTCACCTCAGTATTGGGATGGTGTGGTACAGCTGCGATACAGTACTTCTGTATAAATAACTTGAGGAATAGAAACTTCCTGTTGGTTCAGTAACTGTATATAGCCTTTAACATCCTCATGATCCTCAACACTTCCAGGTGGTGGTTTCTGTCATTTCCAGTCGTTCTAACCAGTCCAGTGTTTTACCAAGTTAAATTTGGTTTTAATGAGTTATTTGATGCTGTAAAAAAAATTACACATCGTGATTGAAAACTGAGACTGTCTCGATTGGTCTAGCACACGAATTGAAGGGACTTCAATGCTACAACTTGCAGACTCTGGCTCGTCCATCTTTATATACAATGTATGGCTTGAAACCTGTTTGTCCCCCTTGTACATTACTGCTGACATATTTCTATGACTTCTAAGAGTCTCATGTCACACTGCTCTCTCCTCTGTCAGAGCCCCAATCATCCTCTCAACTGGTGTCTCACCCTGTCCAGAGACGCTCGGGTCTTTACACTCTTTAATCGATGCCTGATTTTCTAACCGGATCTTCACCTTGCCGCTGTGCGCCTTGTTGTCCAGAACAATCTGGAAGAGTGAGGAGACAACACAGTTAATTTCCCATGAAGCTGTACATAAATTCTAGAAAATGAAGCCATGTCAAATTGAACAGAATGTGTAACAATTACATTTTTGGAAGAAATCAGATATATTGATGCTAATTGTCACTGACGCAGAATCATTAAGTAAAGATAAATTGGATCAGTATTGAAGAAACTGCAATGTCTATACTAAACAATGTATAAAATGTGTCCTTTACTCTGTCAGTAGTTAGCATAATAATTAGCACATGACCATATACCCAAAGAAGTGACTGTCTATCGCAGTAAAATTGTACTCAGTCCCATTATACCAAATAGAACAAAAGATATTGGGACATAGCAAAGGTCAGGACTGTCTTCTCACAACCCATCAAATAAATGCAAAAGGCAAAAATACATGTTTTAAATAACCATGTACTGTAAAAAACGAGATATCGTAAGACAATGCCCTTCACTGTGCTGGGGACAAGGCAGCCTCTTGAATCCTCATGTAATCCATTACCTTTGGACCAAGGCTTCGTATGATTTGTTCTCACCGTTATGTAAAAGGTGTAGCAGTCTGGGATCTCGTTGTTAATGATGGTCTGTATATTGATTGCCTTCAACTGGAACTCTATTGTGACATTAATCAGCCTTGAAACAGAGAAAAGAGAAAGATTAAAACTGAGAGGGAAACTCTGTATTCATCAAATACAAATATCATTTTTTAAAATCTGATCAACAGACAAGAAATAAAAAAAAGAACATTTACTATCATGTATGACAAAGAAAATACCTAACATTTGAGAAGCTGCTTAAATGGGACCAAAACAGTTAATGTTGCTCACTCTGTTTACTTACAGTATCTGACAGGAGGCATCATTTACAATAGATTGATTGTGGCTCATCAATGTGATCATCATCACCTTCAGTAAAGTTATATCAGTGCAGCTAAAATGAGAATATAAGTTTGAAGGTAACTAACACATTTTAAATTTTGCTGGTAAAAGTCCTTTTTTTACCAAGCACATTAGAAAATGAAAGACCTTCAGGTACAGTACTGTATGCTGTCCAATACAAGAGTGTAAGAGATTGCTTTATAAGTCAAGCATACAATTATTTGATGTGTTCAATGTAATGTATTTGCATTGGTTAATTCAGTGAAGAAGGTTTTAAATTGTATATGTGGGTTTTTTATTCATAACTTGAAAATAATCAAATACTTTTTAAGAGTTCAAGAGGAAGATTGTTATGTTTTCAGACACAGAAGCTATATCTGATATTTGACAATTATCAGTAACATGTGAATCAACACAGCAAACTATGCGTATACCTCTGTGTGTGCAGCAGAGATACAGGTGACTTGTTTAATGTCATATCAGCGGCGGAGGCCAAACAAGGAGAAGCAGAAGCCAATGAAAAAAATGAAGCCTTACTTGTGGAACTTGAGCGTAAAGTTCTTGTAGCTGCTGCTGAGTGAAGACGGAGGCATGGACAGAGGGTTCACACCTACACAGTCTGCAGAGGATAAAGAACAGGCAGAGAAGTGTCCTGCTGAGGTAATACTGGCATATGCTGAAGTTTCAATCAAAGACAGGGGAAACATCTGAATTTCTGATCTCTGGCATTTTGCAGTTTGTACAGAAGACAATATAAAAACAACATGAAATCTTGTCAGCAATATTAGATGTAACAGATCAGACAGAAATACAATGCGGTATAAGTTATAGAAATATCTAAAAGTGAGGTTGTTTCCACAGCTGAACTCGCTTCCTCTTAGTTTGTTAAAATCAGACTCAAACAATTGTTACAAGAGGAAGTAAGAAACTCTGAGGGTACGCAACAACATTCATGACAGGAATTGTTTGACATATTAAAACACATGCAACAAACACTGCCTGTGCACATGAACTCTCGCATAAATGCTGTAACAAAGCTCTGCTACAGCTCCCAGCACTTATCATAGAATCAACAGCTTGTCATGGACAGAGGCAGTTCCCACATTAGCACAATACAGAGGTGGGAGCAGAGAGCTTCTAACACTGACCAGTGTTAATCATGTGGTAAAGTGTAGTTCATGTACCTGTGGAGATGTGGGGGTCTATATTGAAAGTGTCGTTGGCTGGGTCGATGCGTCCCTTCTTGTAGTACTGCTGGCAGAGGGAGAGCGCGCTGCCATTCACGCCAACATCGTACACGTATGCGTAGCGTCCCACTGTGGTCTCCGGTAAGGCCAGATACTGGAGGGACGAGGAGAGGAGAATAATGAAGAGAAAAATCTTGTGGCTTCAAGAATCTGCCTCATAAACACAGAGTTGAGATGAAAAAAGACTTGAGGAAACATAACACAGAGAGGAGAGCTTTCTGGTGAGTTTGGTGAGAAGATGAGCTGAACACAGGCAAAAACAGACCGACAGAATCAGTGCTTCTGCTTTTCCTAGTTGGCTTACAGTCAATGTCAGGTACGTTGGCTGTTTGGCATGAAAACACAGACACAAACACAATTACATTTTGGCACCGACTTGGATCAGTGGGCAGATCCAAGAGTATTTGTTTCACTTTAAATTTCAAGATTTTTTTAAATTTTAGTTGATTTCTCAGAAAATAATTCATGGATCTTAAAAAATCTGACATATTTAGGGGACTGATATCTAAGAGTGTGTCCGTTTTGGTTCAGATCCAAATACAAATCTGGATCTAATTAAATTAAATGTGGTTTTATGAGAAAACATTTGGGCCTTGGTGAAGTTATTTGCTCTATTGAGTGACACTCTAGTTTCAAACTGAGAAATAAAAGTTAGAGCAGTGTAGTTTAATATATTTAAGCAGCTGTCCATCTGTCTCAGAGCTTACCTTCTCCACGGTGTAGAAGATGTGATCATAGACATTCCTCTGCGTGTAAACCGCAAAGGAGTCGTCTGAGGACTCATCGTAGTCTTTGAGGAAGAGATGCTTGAAGGTCATCGTGTTCTCCTCCTTGAAGGTCACCACCACCTGGTTACTGAGGCCAAACAGCACCAACTGCAGTGAAGAGGGCGGGGGGGCAGGTGAGACATGTCACTTGGAGGAGATAGGACAGAGGCAGCTTTGGCTCAGGAGTTACAGCAGGTTGTCCTCTCACTAGAAATTTGGCAGTTCGATCCCTGTGGCGCTCATTCTGTGTGCCAAAGTTCCCTTGGGCAAGATACTGAACCCCAAATTGTCCCTGACAGCTGTGGGCAAGATACTGACCTGAGCTGTGACAATGATGATCTTGAGCAGCTGCAGGCCCAGCTTAAATGGCTTGCGGCCCTTGGCGTGATATTTATCACAAGGACTCATGAAGAAGTATTTCAGCTTCCTGCGAAGGGCCTCCTCTCCCTGGTCAGCCACGACCCATTGACCTGCTCCTGCTGTGGGACACTGATGGTTGGTATGGTTGTTGCCATGACTGTTGCTCTCATGCTCGCCGCTGCTGTCTGTGGAGCCGTAGTGTGTCACCGAGCAGGACAGGCTTTTTTGCTCTAGAGGAAAAAAATAAGCAAATGTTTACTTTCTCAGTCAGGCTCATGAAAATTTAGATCTATGAAGAAATGAATCTCATTTAAAATATAAGAACTACTGAATAAATATAGAACTAGGCTTTTTTAGTTGATAGGACATGGACATAAAAAGTCAAAGTACACGTCAAATACAGTTTTCTCAAAGATGATTTCTTTGGTTTTAAGTCATTCTAAATATACATTTGTATGGTAAGTTTGGTTTGAATTAGTTATTTGATGCTATAAAACAGAGTAAAACATCACGATTAACAGCTGAGATTGGTTGAGTGTGTATATCGGTGAGACCATGCTACTGTGATGACTCTGGCTCCAAATGAGCATGATGGCAGCATTCATATCCAGCATTCATATCCATATATATATATATATCAAGAAGAAAGAGCCCAAGAGACTACAGCTGTGACTATAATAACTGCCTCAGCATGAATTTAAATGGGTTTCCAAAGTGCTGAGCACTAATCAAGTCATTTCCTGAAAAACTTGACTCCACTCAACACCTCCTTCTCACTTCCAGCGACAGCGTCCTGTCAGCACCACAAGTGTGCCGGAGTCTGAAGAGTTTGTCTTCAGCTTTCTGTGCTTTCACCTCAGCCTGACATCATCTCTCTGTCTCTCACTGTGGATGACTTTACTTCTCTTTGGCACTAAGAACATGTGCTAAACTCAGCTACACATGTGATTTAACCTCTGTCACTCCAATGCTAAAACTAGTGGGAATCAGTGTTGGACACAAATATAGTAATGATGAATTGTTTTGTCTTTAGAGGGTTAAAAATGTCCTTCTTCACTTTTAAATATGACAAATGATCTGAAGTCAAGGTTAAATTTTGATTGAAAAGCTGATAGGCATATACCTGTATATGTATTTCAACCCAACAATATTTTCCAAAGCGTGAGTTACTGAGACATCATAGTAGCTGATGACTGGTTGTAGCAGGATAGTCAATCAAGAGCTGATGGATCTAAGATACTGAGTATGTTATGTATGAAGTTACATAGATAAATACTGATAAAACCATTTTAGACATAAAGTGTCTTTCTACAAAATGAACTCCAGAGCATTATAAAAAGGGCATTTAAATAAGATTAAAAACTTTTGTTTGGGCTTTTTCCAAAATCCAAGGTGTAACAGTATTTCTGAAGATATTTGAGGTTTTCTGTAGAATTTACACTGATGTGTTGTTTCTTGCACCGACAGTGTAGTGTTTCCTTATTGTGTTCTTTTGATTATTCAATGAGGAAGTGTGCCATTCCTGCACAAGTGGCAAATGTCTGATTCTACAGAGTGAAACTCTGCACTGAGTCAATGACCCCACTTTGAGTTTATCTGTGTGTGATGTATCTCATCAACAGCCTGTGATCGGATATAAAAACACACTAAAACAACTACTGGCAAGAGAACAAATAAGACTTTTGTGGATTATATTCAAGACTTTTTAGTTATCTTTTTGACTAAATTGTATTAAATTAAAAAAAACAGGACAATCTCAAGCGCCCAGTTGAGAAGTGGCCTCTGGGTAGAGCACTCAGGAGGCAGAACATGATGCATACATTCAGCTGCAGATATCACATGTTTTTAGCACATTGACGTTGGCGCCTGCCCTTACCACCAAAAGCTCTCAATTGCTATTGTCTTTCCAAGCCTTCATTAGCGTCTTCTACATGTATGGCACCTCGTTTTCCATATTTCCATTCTTCCGGGGGTTTTTATGGGGAATTCTTCAGACAATTTCTTGCTGTATTCTCATATGGGCTCAGTCAAACATTCCCAGATGACCAGACTAGTCAAATTAACCATGATTAAAATGCATGACTAAGCTTCCAGAACAGGTCATTTATGGTCGGAAACAAAACAGGTCAGTGTGTCATGTCTCTGCAGGAATTGACCGTACCAAATAGAAAACCACAAATCACAGGGTAGGCTTATCATGCTGTCACATGCTTCAGCTGACTAGACCAGGAACAATAGGGTCACTCAGTTTGTTCACTCACAATCAGCAAACGACTGAAAACATGACATGACTGATGATATTCAGCAAGATTTGAGGAACTTTTCTTACTATGTTGTTAAAGTCAGCATGGTATGGTCCGATGAATCGCTGAGTCAGGTTAACTCCAAACTCAACAAGCACAATAAGTCAGCAGAACAAACAACAGCTTGGCAGAGCTGTCCCATGGAAATAAGAAGTGAAACAGGAGGAACACTCTACTCGTGTTCAGTATTAGTCAGCACAAACTGTAAACAGAGGAACCTTCTGCAGAAACATTACGGATTCAAGCAATCAAACAAATGGATTTTTCAGTTTTTCAACGTGGTGTTATTCAATTTAGTTTGAGAGAGGACCAGTTCAGCAACTGTAACTAAAAGAGAGGAGTTCCTTTTATTAGTTACATACAGATCCACAACACATAAATCTCAATAATTTCAGTAGAGAACGGTTCTGATAGCATTAGAGGTAACGTTATGTGTTTTACTCAAAACAGTTATCCTGTGATTCTGCTTCATGAGCTTATTACAGGGATGTGCTAATAATGTTCTTATTAGTCTAATATTGATAATCATCCCAGTAAATGTCACATGTCTACATTTATTTTAAAATTTAAGACAGCTATTCGCTCCTGAGTGAAGGTTTTGGTTCTAAACTCTTCTCTATGAAGAGAAAATGACACTATGAAACACTTGAGAGATAGCTATACAAATTACAAATCTGAGGTAGATCAATTACGTGTTATATGTTCTAACTTACACAATACAAGCAGAAGCTTTAGTTGAATTGCTATTTATCAAAAATATGTTGTGAAACTTATTGATTAGTGATTAATGGTCTAGCCCATTTAAGTAAGCCAACATTTAAGAGCATCAGAAAGCATTACTTCATCATGTTGAACTTTTCCAGTGTAATTTAAAGGACCAGTCGATCCATTTTGGAGTGATCGCAGGTTCCAGCTCTGTGATTCATCTTTGTTGGTTGGTTTAGATACAGAGCTCGGGTTAGTTCACACCCAGATGTTTTCAGACCAAACCAATATCAACTTAAGAAGAAGAAGAGATACTTTATAGATCCCTCAAGGGGAAATTCTTTTTACATGCATTTTTTTAACCCTGAAACACAATCCCACACACACAAAGGGCTCATAGACATGCAAATGTGGAGAGAGATGGTGGATAAGTGACATCACTTGAGACTTTGCTCCCTCTAAAGCCACAAAATACTTTTTTCATATATGCAGTCATACTTGTAGTATGACTTCAAGAAAGTGGAGATAAGATTCTCAAAGGTTTAGGTTTTAATAATCACACCCTGTGCATTCTCATCATGTAGTAAAACACAAGCCTTAAGGTTATATGAATAACATCCATACAAGCACTTGACTTCGACTAAATTAGCCGAGAGCGACAGCATAGCAATTAACTTGGCTACGGCCAAGGCAGGTGAGGTGCCCTAGCTTTGACAGGGGTTGCGTGTGTTGGTGAGAAGAATGAAAAACAGCTAAAAGAATTCATCCACTTAACATTTCCTGTTGACAGTAGGTGCAGAGAGCAAGTGCCCACATATCTTTGATCAGTGTGTCGATCGTCTCGGCAGATAGCAATCGGGCAAACAAAAGTGGGTGCGAGCCGCCGGCCGTGCTGCCATGTTCGACAGCACAGCTTAAGCTGAATTGCTCTCTAAAAAATATCTGGCTTTTCTGGTTTGCCGCCGGAAGAGCGTTGGCAGAAATACCGATGTAGCCAACTCTCTGTCAAACTAAATCCTTTCAATCTGTCAACAACTTGATATCAGTGCCTGGATCTAGTCTGGCAGTCCACAGCCGAAGGCCACCCACAGACAGAGAGTCCAACGTCCCAGGTATACACAAACTGATGCAAACATCTTAAACAAAAAAATGATAAATACATTCTAGGTTACTAGTAGAAATACTAGTAGAAAGTAGAAAAGGTTTTCCACTAACCAGAATGTCTGTGATTCAATCGTTGGCTTCTCCAGTTTGCTTTCTGAAATCTCCTCGGACAAGATAGTAATAGTGCTGATGGTAATGCTGATAGTGCATAAATGGTGTGTAATGGAAAAGGTGTTGCATTTAGAAATGTTGTATGAATGTGTGTGTGAATAAGTGAATGCTTCTACTATAAAATGATTTGAGTGATCAATGAGCCTAAGAAGAAAAGTCCATTTACCATTCACTTCTCAACTAGAATGGCAATCAGTAGAGTTTACATCCAGCCTGGTCCAACAGTCCCCTTAAATGTAGCACCAAGTTTCACACTCACGTCACACACTCATAGATCTATGAATTCGATTATCTATTAGCCTTTGACAAATTTAAAAAATGCCTCTTGCAATGTTAAAAAAGATTGTAAAAAGATTCCTGGATCCACACCAACATTTAATGGGTTCCTCCCTCATGACGAGGTTCATGGAAATGTGTTGAGTTTTTTGTGTAATCTTGCTCACACGCAAACAAACAAACAGAAGACAAACAAATGGACAGGGGTAAAAACATAACCTCCTTGTGGAGGGAATGTTAAATGTTCAGTTCATTTCAAATTACTAAGCAAAACATAAATTTTGCTGTTCACCTCTAAAGGAAAGTAATTATATTTGAAATGGGAGGAAAACTTCCGATGACACACTTCTGCATGTGCATGGCCACCAGACACAGACGACCAGGCTTTTGTAATTAAGGTCAACTGACCCTTTAACTTGAAGCTTATTGCCCACATACTGTGTGTGGTGCTACACAAAGAAGCCATTATGTGTGAGCTTCATAGCTCCTTAAAATTCACAAGTCGGTATGAAAATAGCTATTTTTACATTCACTTTGTAACTTTTACTCACATAACCACATCTGACTGCCTTAGAATGGTTGTAAGGGGATCTTGATTTTAAAAACTCTCTTGTAATATGAATGTTTCACATTCAAGTCAAATCCCTCACAGAGACACAGTCAAAATTCATCTACCCCACAATCACAAACCTGCAAAACACTGCAGATGCAACCATGCGTAAGATGAGCTTATGAAAGAGCTGTTATTATGCATGACAGAGTCAGGGCCTGTGGATGTACTTCAGGAGGTTTGTTGTTGGGTGGGGGCTGATTTTGGTGGAGCAGCTCTTTTTGGGAAAGAGGCTTAACAACAGTCTCCTTTAGACCAACAATTCACACAACCACTGCGACCTCTGAAATGAGGGCAAGGACTTGGATGTAGTATTTAAGTTCAGTCATCTGATTCTGCAATTCCAAACACTTCGTCAGGGATTGAAAAATGCCCATCATAAGGTCAGAGAAACCAAAATGCATCTGTGAGTGTCTTGTTTCCTCTGACTGATATTAGTTTGAGAAATCTACATCTCTTCATTTAAGATGCAGGAGACAGTAAAATGACAACATGTATCATATGCAAGACTTCAGTTCTCTGGGATGGAATATTAGTGTGGACAACCACACCGGCAATCTCATGATCAATCTCTCTTGATGGCTGCTGATACCAGGTATCAAACCTCAACAGTGAACTCAGCCATAAACCTAAGGTGCTTGACGGGAGTTCAAGAGGTCCTAATGTATCACTTTCATTCATTCCAGGACCAATGCCACTGTGCCTTTATGTTTTGCATTGTGCTTCTTTGTTTAGTGTGTGTTTGATTTTGATTTGTTATTCTCCATTTGACATTTACAAGACTAATAACTTTCTACATTATTTTCTGTTTTTGTTTGACGCTTGTTCTACTGTAAGTGTATGTTGCTCAATCCTCGCCCATTATTTTAACTGGACATTACTTCAATATGAGTGCTGTCATTGCAATATATACATTACTGTCCTGAATATTAATTAATTAAAAAAGATTAGAAAAGTCAGCATCAGGAAAAGTAAACACCTCTAACTGTGCAGGCTGACATTAGGTCTTATGGGGAGGGATTTGAAGGAGTAAAGTATAATTTAATACTAATCTCTCACTGGTTTTTCATAGTTTTACTCGGGTGACACTCAACAGGTGATGTTCTTCGAACCTTTGTGTTTTTGTGTGTGTGTGAAGTCTTGACCTGTGGAGCAGTGAAGAGGAAAGAAAGACACACCTAAAACACAGAGGAGTCACCACAGCCAAAACGTGATGGTGACAGAATAACTTCGTGATCCTGAACCTCACAAACACACCGAGGTGACAATAATGAATCAACAACAACAACAACAACAACAACAAACCACCACCACTGTGTCACACTGAGCAAAACAACAGTGTCTCCTTGTGCGACAGCGTTAGCTCGAGAGAAAGGTTGAAATGTTGTTCACCTGGAGAGTCCTGGAGTCCTGTCGCGGCCATGAAGTCCACTTTTTAAAAGACGATGAGTGGATCGCGCAGCTGGAGCTCAAAGCGGCTGTTCTCTGTGTGTGTGTGCGGTAGAAGGGTTTGAGGGCGTCACGGTGGAGCAGCGGACCGTCCACAGCTCTGTCACACTCACAGCCGGTGCTGACTTCCGCTCACATCATGTGACCGACACCACGTGACTGGCAGCCGGAGCTCAAAACAGATTCACCGAGAGCCTGAAGCGACTCTGCTTTGTACAGTCCCATTTATATGCAGTATATAAACATTATTACACACTTAAAGCTGTATATAAGTACATTTTGAACCGTGTATTAATGTACACAGCAATTATCAGTACTTTTACATGATAACACATTAATACTGCAGCCTTCAGGCATGAGTGTCCACATAAAGAGATGTTATACACAAATATAGGCTATGAATAAACACTTATATCTGTGTATATATATTATTTATATAGTATATGCTTATACTATGAAAACATTTAGTTAATTTATTCGTTTAGATTTTTTATTCATTTGTTAACTTACCATTGCAGTTCTAAATATGTTTGTTCTGTTTTATGTAACGCCAAGTCTTATTCCTATGGTGTTAAATAAACTTAGGAAAAACTGTCAGACTGGTTCAAGCATGGCCGCATTAAGCTGACAGTTTCAATATTTTTAGAATACCACCAAAAATAATTTTTGGTGGCCGATGGCAAAATAAGGGAGTAAAGAAACTGTCAATACCAATATATTGGCAGATATATATATTAAAAAATGGGATTCACACTGAGGAAAATACAATTCTGGGATTTCGAGAATAAAGTCATTATCGAACGAGAAAGAAGTCATTATATTACAAGAATAAAGTCAATGTCTTATATAAAATTATGAGAGAAAAGAAAAAACATTTTTAAGAAATAAGCAGCAAGGAGAACTCATGCTTGTTGGATTTCCACTTTTGAGAAACTACAAACTAATTTGAATAACACACAGACATATCATGCAATAGTTTTACAGTGGATCACTAACAAAACATTTCTTCTTCCACAGAAGAAGCTATTTCCTGCAAGTCTGTGTGACTTCTTCAGAATTGACACAGACACACTCTTTTCAAAGTCTTATGATAATGTGGTGCTGATGAGCCTGATATATTTCATATTTCATTATTTGTAAAACTATTCTAAAGAATAATTTAAGATGATCCACATTCCTTCTTAATGCAGGCGACAGGCTGATCTTCTAAAATTACATGCACTCTAAAATTATGACTTTATTCTCATAACATTATGACTTTATTCTTAGATTTCTTTTCCCTTTAAGTGGCACTTAATCTCCATTGTGTGATACCGTACATTACAACCTTATAGGTTTAGATGGAACTAAACTCAACTGTGACATTAGTCCGATATTCCGTCCATCACACATTTGTGGTTCACAGAAACAAGAGCTCAGTGATGTGTTTATTATCCTTCTCTTGAACAAATGACTCCTCTTCCCTTGCTGCTTTCCAAACATTTTACATTTGCAGTATCCTATACAGCAAAACATCAGTACTTTCTTCAAACATGTAAAACAGATTAATACAACAACTAAAATAATTTTCTTAAAATAATATATCAAAGTGGGGTAAAACATGATCAAATAGATAAAAGATAATGAAATCGAGGCAAGGGAGTAGAACATTTTAAATTCAACATATTTTTCATAATTTATACAGTTGTAATTTATTCAAAATAAATTTCCAAAATGCATTCTTTTTCAAATTAAGAGTTTTTTTTTTTACTTGACATTACTAACTTAACCTACAACTTATTGTATATAGGCTAAACTATTAATAGGCTATCATAAACAAAAGCTTGTGTTTTGAAATGAAAATACATTTTCATGAGTTTGTCCCACTTGTAATCTAATGTCTCTGAGGAACCTACACTAAACAAGTTCATGTTATTACTGTTTACTTTAAAAGTAGTGTGGTATTTTCTTAATTTCGATTCAGTTATAATGGCTGCATATTTACATTTTGGCAGCAGTTTTGTCAAACCAGCTTTGTTGTTCAAAACCTCAAGTCAGGACTGTTCTGTTTGACAGTAATCCCCCCTGCATTCAACGAAAAATAAATATTAACCTTTAATCTGCTTTGGCATCCATTGATCTGTGTAGACGTCATATTGTACAATTAATCTTTAGAAGGCAGTGTAACATCTGAGGAAAGACTAACAACCCAATATAATTTTAGAAAAAGTCCTGATTTATATGATTTATAATAAACCTTCCTGGGCAGCCCATGACCCACTTTAACTTTAGGCTAAATCAATATTTGGAGTGTACACAGAGAACTATCCTCTAGTGGGTCACATAACCACAATCATGCACGTACACTTACACAAACACAGAGTTTAGTTTTGTTCATTTAACTGAGTGAAAGCCCGACTCTCTGCTTTTCTGTTTGGAGGCAACAACTTGGAGATGCAAAATATGACTTTTTTTGGTCTGTCAATTTTTGTTCTTGCTTCTTTCTGCCTCCTTTCTACCTGCAGCAAGCCGGTAGGTAAGTTTAAAAGAGGTAAACGTCTGTGCTTTGTTGAACATGTGTACAATGATTATCATG